TCCGATTTGTGACGGAATAAGCAGAAACAAAAAAAAAATTGTAACCACCGAAAAAATGGAGTTTAGCGAAGTATTCATAGGTTTATTTTATTCATTAAAAATATGAAGTGGTCTCCATCTGTTAAAATTTTATTATTTATATTGGATCCATTTTTATCTTACATTAAAATATTATTAACAGACTTTGGGAGTGAATATATGTAGCTTGACTTTCATTATTTTTTTCAAAACAAAAGAATTTTTCTTAGAGATAATGCCTCCTATACAACTAAAAAATTGAATTAATGATCTGCTCAATACCGAAGCTTTGAAAAGTGGAATTTCACAGACTTGCGTACTTGACCATAGGGGTAAACTGGACAATATGCTTTGAAAACTCATTTTTGTAACGGAGTAAGCAGGTAGTATAGAAATTTCGTAACTGCTCAAAAACGTTGTATTGTGAAAATGAATTATGGATAAGCTGTATTTCCAAACAACTAAAAAGTATGAATAACCGCTTATTCAACCTCAAACTGAGAAAATAAACTTAATCTAACGAAGCCTAAGATTAGCAGTAGATATATTTGATATAAACAATATATAAATACACACACATACACACACACTAAGAAAATGAGTTACAAATAAAAATCATAGAGTTCGACAAGATGAAATCGAGTTACATAGTAACTTAACATATGTGAAGGAGCCTAAAAAGATATTAGAGTTTGTTCTTCATGAATTAAGAAGTAGAATATTTTCTTACAGATCTAATAAGTAAGAAAACATTATATACCCAATTTTCGTAAGGTAAAAAATAATTTTTCTTAATTATATTATACCCCAAAATATCAATTTTCACGAAAATCACAAAAAAATATTTTATTGTGTTCTACTTTACAATTGGTATAAATTGCTCTATAGAAATATATACTAATTTATAAGGCATGAAAGTATCTGAATTAGTTTCAACTTGAATAAAATTTTTGGAAGTTTTAATTAACTTATGGTTCATATATATCATTATCATTATAGAAAAAGTGATGGAATTTCACTTTTGAAGTCGAGCAGTGGTGAAGGCCTTGGATAGAATAGCCAATATGCATAATAATTAAGCATTTTGCTTATCCTTGCATAACCAAAGCCTCATTTTAGCTTAAGAACTCATAGGCTGGGGTTTTGGAGGTTGCGACTTCAGGCGAAGTAGAGCAAGAAAAGGAAATTGGGTAAGAAGAATAAGGAGAAGAATAAATGTAAGGATATGGTTTTGTCCTAGAATTATATTGTAAAATGTATTAGTAGGTTTCTTATTTAATAATATTCAATTATGATGTATGGTTAAAGTGGTATATAAGGAGAGACAATTTTGTGGTAAACATTATTTAAGAATGAATTTGGGTTGTATGTATATTGATTAGGATAGAAATTATAATAATTTTTGAAATTTGAGCCGTATAGGTAATTTATAAGCATAAAAAAGTTGCGAGATATCAGAATTAAAGAGACAACTCATCATGGTAGTAAGATTTATAAACTCTTAATTTAGAAAGCAAATTCTTTATTCTTTTTTCAAGTCTAAGTGCATTGGTGCTAAGTCTATACATGAAATGCGTTAGAAATCTTGCATTTTATTTAATGCATTTCTGTAGCTTAATATTCTTGTGCAACGATCATACATAAATAAATACATGCATATTGTTCATTATTTTTAATACATGAATTTGTATTAGATGTATAATCTTTCTGAGTCTTATAACACTCCAGACATTTATTTTGATTGTTATTATAGGAAAAGAAATGATAAGATG